ATAGAATAGGGAGGACCAGAGATCTCTTCAAGAAAATTGGAGATATGAAGGGAACATTTCATGCAAAGATGGGTATGATAAAGGACCAAAATGGCAGGGACCTAACAGAGGCAGAGGAGATTAAGAAGAGGTGGCAAGACATCCCTGATAACCACAATGGGGTGGTCACTGACCTAGAGCCAGACATCCTGAAATGTGAAGTCAAATGGGCCTTAGGAAGTCTGAGCACAACAAAGCAAGTGGGGGTGACAGTATTCCAGCTGAGCTATTCAAAATCTTAAAAGATGATGCAGTAAAAGTGCTACACTCAATATGCCAGCAAACTTGGAAAACTCAACAGTGGCCACAGAATTGGAAAAGGTCAGTTTACATTCCGATCCCAAAGAAGGGCAATGCCAAAGAATGTTTGAACTACCGCACCATTGCACTCATTTCACATTCTAACAAAGTTATGCTCAAAATCCTACAAGCTAGGCTCCAGCAGTATGTGGACCGAGAACTACCAGAAGTACAGGCAGGATTTCGAAGAGGGAGAGGAACTAGAGATCAAATTGCCAACATACGCTGGATCATGGAGAAAGCTAGGGAGTTCCAGAAAAACACCTACTTCTGCTTCATTGACTATGCTAAAGCCTTTGATTGTGTGGATCACAACCAATTGTGGCAAGTTCTTAGAGATGGAAGTACCAGAGCATCTTATTTGTGTCTTGAGAAACCTTTATGCGGGTCAAGAAGCAACAGTGAGAACTGGACATGGAACCACTGATTGGTTCAAAATTGTGAAAGGAGTTCGGCAAGGCTGTATACTGTCGCCCTGCCTATTTAACTTATATGCAGAGCACATCATGAGAAAGGCAGGGCTAGATGAATCACCAGTTGGAATTAAGATTGCTGGGAGAAATATCAACAACCTCAGATATGCAGATGATACCACTCTAATGGCAGAAAGTGAAGAGGAACTAAAGAGCCTCTTGATGCGGGTGAAGGAGGAGAGTGCAAAAGTTGGCTTGGAACTCAACATTAAGAAAATTAAGATCATGGCATCCGGTCCTCTCACTTCCAGGCAAATAGATGGGGAAGAAATGGAGGTAGTGACAGATTTTATTTTCCTGGGCTCCAAGATCACCACAGAAGGGGACTGCAGCCAAGAAATTAAAAGACGCTTGCTCCTGGGGAGGAAAGCTATGGCAAATGTAGACAGCATACTAAAAAGCAGAGACATCACCCTGCCAACAAAATGTGTATAGTCAAGGCTATGGTTTTCCCAGTTGCAATGTATGGCTGTGAAAGCTGGACCATAAGGAAGGCTGAGTGCCAAAGGATTGAGGCCTTTGAACTGTGGTGCTGGAGGAGACTCCTGAGAGTCCCTTGGACCGCAAGGCGATCAAACTGGTCAGTCCTAGAGGAGATCAACGCAGACTGCTCTTTAGAAGGCCAGATACTGAAGATGAAACTCAAATACTTTGGCCACCTAATGAGAAGGAGGGACTCCCTGGAGAAGAGCCTAGTGCTGGGAACAATATATGGCAAAAGAAGAAGGGGATGGCAGAGGATGAGGTGGCTAGATGGAGTCACTGAAGAGGCTGGCGTGAGCTTAAGTGGAATTCGGGGGATGGTGGAGGACAGGAAGGCCCGGAGGAATGTTGTCCATGGGGTCGCGATGGGTAGGACATGACTTTGCGACTAACAACAACAACAACAACAACAACAACACACAGCTCATCTTTACTCTTAATCTGCAGCAAGCCAACTAAGGCAAAACAGTGCCCAAAATATAAAGATTCCTCCATAAAGGCACTAAACTGCTAACCTTCTATCATTGAAGGACAAGCAGAAACTCTTTATGAAAATATTAACTTAACACTCCAGCCAGCTGATGTATTTACTCACAAGCCAGTACTTGCTACCTCAAGCTTTTGGACTCTTCTTTTCAAAATATTAATTTCCAAAACAGGATTCCCTATGCTCCCTAGGATAACATTAGCCTCTTCATAACGACTTAATTAGATTTGTTTTTAAGCCTCTTGGAGAAGCTAGACAGTCTTATTGTTGGGTTTTATGGCTGAGTGCCCTTTAAAAATAAGCATTGCAGCTGATTAACCATAAAGTTGTTAAGTCAACATTGAATTAAATGAATATGGTTCTGGAGCACATACAAGCAAACATTCTACTGGAGCAATGAGATGCTGGACACTTAACCTCCTCACCCATAGCTGCCAAGCACTTAGCCTATTCTTGTCCTCCATCCTTTTTTTCAACAGCTCAGAAGGAAGAATAGACTGACCAGGCAAACAAAAAGAAGAATTTTCTCTTTGGCATGTCTAATCCCAGGTATTCCTTTCCCAGCAGGATTTTTATCTGGGAATTTTTAGCCTGCTGAAGATAGCAGGTAGCTTGGCTACTACAGTATAAGAACACGTTAAAGGAAAACTAGAATTTGTAGCCACTATACATAATGCAAATTGCTTAAAGCTGTGTCTGAATAATTCATTTCTGTTCAGATAATCTAGTTCAGTTAATTCCTAAGAGGCACAAAGAAATAATTCTATGAATTCGATCTTAGGGTTTTAGTTCAGGCATGTCACAATACCTTTCTCAGACATGTATCATTATGAAACAGAAAAAGTCATATAAATAAAATTATACAATAAATGTTTTTGTGCAAAGATAAAATGAAAAGCCTTTAAGCAACTGAAATTAACATTTTTTGGGAACAATTAAGTATTCACTAGTGAGAAATTAGATACTTCCAGAGACTTACCAAATGGAATGCTTTACTATCTGGCTTTACTTTGTGTTTTTCCATATATTTGATAAGGCTGCAGTTGGTATACCTGAAAGAAAACACTGATTTATAACAAACATCACTTGTGAGAAATTGAGCAGAAAGTATACTTCGAATAGGTAGTAAGTACAGAACTAACAGGATCTTGTATCCACGAAAGAACTCAATTTTTCCAAACCATCTGGTCCATCTGTGAGTCAAAATGGTGCCCACACTGTGAGAAAGAAGCCTGAAACCATGATACTATTTTTTCTAGATAGGCTGCATGGAAATTAGTTCTCATCATCCAGATCTGGTTCTCATATCAAGGGATAAAATCTGTGAAAAGCTATTAACAATCAGCTACTCTATCTCTTTCCTGTACAATATAAGGCACACATTTAGGCGAGTTTTAAAATCAATTACAACCTATCCTTTCAAGTTTACACCTGGAAGCTGAAGTACTGTAATTTTTATTAATACAGATTCTCTTTAGTGAAACCACAGTAATTTCATACATATTGGGTGCCATAAGGTTTTAAAGTTATCTAGACAATAAGCAAAGTTGCAGTCATTCTCTGTTTTGAACAGCTTCACAACACCTGTATAGCATGCTGCACAGTCATCTGTAAATTTTTGGCTGGCTTAGCAGCCAGCCATTATTTATGGTCAGCAAGATCCCCTTTCTAATTACATCCCTCCTAATAATCCTTGGCTCACTTTTGCACAAATAGCATAGCACTCCGTTACAAAGTGAAATACCCATTCTTGTTCAAGTTCTTAGTCTTTCATAAAAATCCGGGAGGTAGTGATCTCTGTGCAAGGTGTTCAGGGGAAGGGATGGTCAGAGGATGGAACAGAGGGAGCTGGCAAACAAATGATTACTGCATGTTTGAGCTATTGATGCTGCAGACAAGATTACAATTTCTTGGAAAATTTTTGCAAAACTTACGTATTTCTTCGGAAATCTTTCATTAATGTTGAATGTTCAGGCATCTTTTTAATATCTTCCCAATCTTTATCTATGAAGTGAATATTAGTACAATTTCATCTTTCTTTACATAGAGAATAGGACATCATTGCTTGCACATTCAAAACTATAATCTCTTCATCTTCATGTGTGCAACTTTGCTTCCTGGACATTCTTGATGAACCTGAGTGGAAAAAATATCCTCTTCTCATAGTTTTCAGTAACACTGAGAACTGAAAGGCATATCTATTTGATGCATAGTTTTAAATCATAAAGATTTGTTTTGCTATAAAAATACCTGAACAAGTATTGCTTTACTTTTCAATATTAACCTGGTGCCCTTAACTAACTGCTACAGTAATTTCATGATAATTTTTAAAACAAAGTATTTAAAACCAACACAGTTATTGAAGGGATACTTATAGCCTCCTAATCTATGTTTCTGTATCACAAGGCAATAAGAAACAAAAAATAAAAAGAGGCTTCTTTGCAAGCTGGAGTAATGCCATTTGAAATATACAGAATAATGGCTGCTGTGGCTTTTTTCAAGCCTATCAAAACTTCAGAGAAGACTGCAAGGGATGCCAATTATCTTAAAATGGCCCTGAAGAGAAATATTACTTATTTCCCCCATATATCATATCAGTAGCCTTTGATCTTTTCACATTTAGGACCTGCATATGCCAACTTACAACATATATGAACTATATGACAAATGCTGAATATAAGAACCAGCATAGCATTATTTTTAACATGATTTTATTTTATTATATTTTCAAAGAGCTGAGCATGGCTGTAAAGTTCAGGACATTTTGGAGGGCTTTTATCGATAGGGTTGCTGTAAGACAAAGATGACTTGATGGCACATAACAACAAACTGCATTTTATTGCAGCTTGACCCTTTCTTCAAACCTACCTGTTCCATGCATTAAAAGTATTCTTTTGACCATCAAATCATTTAAACATTTGATTTGATAATGGCAAATATATCCTGGCATGTATCAACAATGATAAAAATAGACTATATACCTGCAGGAAATCCCATTACATTGAATATTCTGTCCAGCTGGTCATGATGATACGGATTGCTAGTTTTTATATCCTCTTGTCGGCAGTGGAATATTGGCTCTGATGTTAGCAGCTCTGCAAATATACACCCTATAGCCCATATATCTTTATAAAAGAGGAGGGGGGAAAATCAAATAGGCTTTTCTAAAAGGAGGAAACATAGTCTGAGAAACAGCAGACATTACAGAGAGCCTCTTAAAGCAAATCAATTCTACTTTAAGTCATCGCAACATTTATTGTGAACATTTCCATTGTAACTTTGCAACATTTTAAAGTTTTCTTTGATCCCATATAGTATATCACAATTCAAGCCACAGCCTAAAGAATGTTGGCACTGTTTGTTGAAGTCTAAATTCTAAGTTCTTAATCTACAATTTGCATATTATCCCACTTTCTCCATTGTCCTTTTAAGATTTCAACATCAAACATGCATATTAGTTTTGCTGCATTTTTCTGTATACAGTAATAGCAATGTTAATGTTAGACAATGATGACCAACAGAAATGAGCAGAATCTGTATTTTCCGCTTTATGCGCTGCTTTGTAGGCCTTTCAAGTAGAGCATGCAATAAAGGGATAAATTAGAATATAATGCAACTTTTATAGTCAGTTTAGTTTGACCAATTCAAGAAAATACTTGCAGAAGCTGCAAACTATGTACCTCACTAAACAAATTACATTTTAATAAGGGGAAACTCTTTTCAAACTATCATTTAAATACTTTAGGCTACATCCAAAGTGACAAGCAGACTTCTGCTTGCGCCCTTTGCAGTCCCCAAACTAGCCTGAGCAGACTTGATGGGACATGTGCGGGTGCAAGACAGAATCTGTTCTGGCAGTAGTAGTCTCTCCTGGTGAACAGACACCACTGGATACAACACATTAGCAAGAGCTGAGCTGAATGTTTGTGTTCAATGAAAACTAGGCAAATTATATATTTTTTTGGTTCAAGTCCTAATTATGCAAGGTAGTTGTACAAACTCATGCCAAAAGATTGAACTTTAAAGCATCAAGGAACGAGTGTGCAGCTCAAAGGAGTTCCTACATCTTATCTTCTTAGGAAGAGCCGTGCATCTCTAAGCAGACAGCCTAAAATTTGGGCTGAAATTTTCTGCCAATCCTTCCCACATCCTTTTAGCTAGCATCAGCCTCATTTTACCTGCAATCTTCTTCCAGTCATGCTATAAGAGAGGCAGGTAAGGTTCACAATTAAACTGCTTAGAGATGTTCTCTGAGTTTGGTCAAACAAATGCAGATTGCCCCCTCCCCCCAGTGCAACTCAGCCCTATTCAATATGGTGTCTTCCAGATGTTTTCCAGAATTTTTGACCATTGATTAGGCTGGTTGGGGATTATGGAAATTGAACTCCATGATATTTGAAGGGTATCAAATTAAGAAGAAGCTGAACTAGTACAAGGACTATACTGGTCCCTTTGTCAAACACTCCTGAGTGAAGTTAGCAATTTTGGGTAGAGTCATGGTACAGATTAGTAGCAGGATGCAGAACACAGGAACACAGGCAATTCTCATAATGAAGGGAATGAATGCTCCTATCCAAAAATTTATACTGAGACTAGTGCCATTTAATTTTTTTATATGTATAAATGATCTGAGATATGAGATGAACAATTAGGTGGTGAAGTTTCTGAATGACACCAAATTATTTAGAAAGATGAAAACCCAAATCATTCTCTCAAAACTGGGAGAATTGGCAATTTGATGACGAAAAAGAGATTTGGTATAAATATAATGTGATACAATTTGGGAAAGAAAAAAGTATAATTCCATATATAAAGCATCTGGACTGATAGGGAGCCTTATGACAGGAAGAAGATCTTGGGCTCATGGTAGATCATGCAATGAAAATATCAGCTCACTGTGCAATGACAGTGAAAACAAAAAATTGCTTGCTGAGAATTATTCAGACAAGATTATGTTGCTCCATTTGAAAAACTGATGCGCACCTCTGAATCTTTTATCTGAAAAAGGCTAGAGCAGACCTGAAAAAGGTGCAGAACAGGGCAACCAAAATGAGCATGGGATCAAAGCACATCTTCACTATAAGCAAATGTTAAAGTGTTTTGTATTTTAACTTAGAAGGGAAAATGAATAGGGCTGATATTATGAAAGGTTTTAAGAGTATACCTTGTGGGAACAAAGTGGAGGAAGATTTTCTCTCCTGTAATATAAGTGCTTATCATCACTTAAAATCAGTGCTCCACAAGTACTTTCTATTTTCTAATTTTTAAAAATTCAACCTATAATGGGCTTTTGCATAGTTGCTTCACATATCCCAGATGAAAGACAGATGAAGGAGAAATCAAAAGCTTACTGGGAATGGGGGAGAAAGCAACAGTAGTTTCAACAACAGTGCAACCAAAACAAAAGGTCATTTCAGCTCTAGGCATAGGTTTACTAGCATCCAAGGCTTAGATTTGTACTTGTGCAAGCTGAATGATGCTCATGCATCTTTCTCCTTCTCCCAA